AACTCACACATAACTTTTTATTGTTATGAGCTGTAATTACGGCAAATCAGCGATATAAAGAGAGCGTCTCTATACGAAAAACATCATTTGTACGAATTAATTCAATTTGCTTATTTTAATGAAGAAAGTTCCCACGTATTGTATAACCGTTTATAATACTCCTTTGAGTTTGGGTACGTTCCGTTTCACGTATGATGTACATTATTTCATCCTTCTTTAATATTTGGTGGATAAAGAATGGACAAAGATACATAATGCGTCATTCGCATCGTGAGTGAAACGGAACGCGCCCTTTGTGTACAATACAAATTATTCATTTGTGATAATGTATACTTAGAAAATTCAAATTTACTTCAGGGTCACAGTTAGCTAAGTTCGATGAAGTCACAATTTCAAGCTGCGATACGTCCGAAGAGAAGTGCGCATTTCCTCGTGGGGTAGACATACACGTAAACGCCAAATTTACACCAAGTTAGTAGAATAATTAGTAAGAAAATAATATAGGCATATCAGTCGTATTTTTCAACATTAGAAAATTTTACAATGATGGTAACAACTTTATTTATAAAGTGCTAAAGATTATATTAATATATTCTTTTACAGACACAGATATCTCGAATGTCATAGCACATGCATTTGGAGTGTTGCTCGACGTGCCTATACCCTTTCCTCTAGAAGAACCTGATGTATGTAAAACTCCAGACTCCGGAATCACTTGTCCCTTAAAGAAGGACCAGCCGGCTGAGTATAAAACCACATTTAATGTAGAGAAGAAGATCCCTGCGGTAATTCCACTTCTTACATCGTAGATCTGCATTTCTTTTCTTTTTCAATCTGACTAGAACAATACATTGCGCGCGCTACGCGCTGGACTTCCAAACTTTTTTTACTTACATTTTGTCGTGCGTGCGTATAATGTATTTTAATTATTTTAATTGTTATTAATGTCGTTTCTATTCTGTTTCAGTTGAGCGTTGAAGTTATGTGGGAATTTAGAACCGAAAACGACGCGAAGATTATATGTGTAAAGTTCCCGGCTAAGATTGTATAAGATGCGGCTGATATTTTTGTAACAACTATCAGATTACGCCCTAGTATCGAAGTGAACACGTTACCTAAGTTAGTTATTTTTAAACAATGGACCTCGCTGTATTTTCAACGCATGTCGATGCAAACTTCACTTAAAATTGTTGAATAAATAAAAAAACGATCTCGTTAATGCATTTTTAATATTCTAACATTTTATTACTCTATAGTATTTCTGAAATATTCTGTTTTCTCATTTAATTTTAAAATATTAGCTTACATTGATACATCATGAAGATAAAGAGTGTCACATTTCCATTTTTATCTATTTTCCACTTCTATTATCGGAAATATGTGTAACGTAAGAGAACCTCGTTCTGTCGATGTTTTGTAAGTACTCCGAAATACGCAGTAAAATTACTTTTGAATGAACGACTTTATCTTTATATTATTGTTGTTACATTTTCATTTAATCACGTAATCTAATAAAATATAAAAAATAAAAGTAAAGAAGAGAGAACAAATATTATAAAATAAAAGAGCCTTGAAAGGCAGTCAGTTATAAAAAGAAAGAATACATCCATCATTGATAGATGAATTTCTGGTCAGCTTGGTCGGTATCTCGGCAACGAGTTGCAACCAGAGTTGGGATGCTCTCTTGTCAAGTGGAGGGATGTTAATATGTTTGAGACAAGTGCAATATACTGCAGTGTGCGGCGGCAGTGGTGCCAGTGGTGCCAGTGGTGGTGGTGGTACGTATGTACGTTATTAGCCACGTGGAAGCCATAGCAGCAACATGACTCGAGTGACGATCGTCGCGCTTTTCTACGCGCTGTGTTATTTCGCGTCCAGTCTCGCCGTCACATTTCAGGATTGCGGTGAGTACACGCTTGTTGTCATTATTAATTTGGGCAAATCATTTTGACAAAATTATCGCGCGATATACTCGCACTGAATAAAAAGCAACATTAATAATAATGATTACGAAAGGACGCTGCGTTTTCGATAGCTTGTTTACTGCGCACTTAGGGCCAGTTTCACAAACGTCGGTTAACTGTTAACCAGAATTCAGTCAACTTCCTATCTTTTTCTATTTTGTTATCTAAGAAGAGACAGAGAATCAATTAACCTTCGGTTAAGCAGCTAACCGACGTTTGTGAAACTGGCCCTTAGGGGTATTGAAATTATTGTAACAAATTAAATTAATTATTCAAGTAACTTGAAGAATTATTTAACGCCAGTAGTTGATTAACCAATGTAGAAAATTGACGACCAATGGCTGGCGAATTCTAATTAAAGAAATTCATTACGAAAAATATTACCTCAGCCAGGGTTTGAGGCTCAGTGGTCGAATTGGTGAGACGTCCGCCTAGAGTGTAGGGAGGTCCTGGTTCAAACCCCGGTGGAGGTAATATTTTTCGCAATGAATTTCTTTACTTAGAATTTGCCAGTCATTGGTCGTCGTGCAATTTTCTACATTGGTTAATTATTCAAGGTTAAAGTAATTACTCTCCATTGTCGTCGATGATAACTAATAACTGTTGCTTAAAAAATGCCGAATTTTTAGAGAATTATTTATCATATTCTCCTGTGGAAAATATCACGAAAGTTTGCCCTGAAAGGGGCGAGGGTATATTTTAATTACGGAACAAGAGAGACGAGGAAAAGTCCACTTGTCTTCGTCAATTCTGTATCTTGCATCGTAGTGAAAATGCTCCAAATGAGTGATCTTGTTTCTTTTTAACTGTCCCCTTAAAAGTGACAAAGCCACTTTTTTAGCATTTTCACTATGTTGCAAAATACAGAATTGACCCCGTAGTGATCTGAAAATTTTTCTCTTTGTCTATCTGCAAAGCCTTGATATACATCTGTCGCAAATAGCGAACAGGGAAATGTAATGTACACATACATGACTAATGACCGATTTTTTCACTTCCCGATAAAATTATCCGGAGGTTAATCTCAAGTTTTAGCCAATCACGTGCATGGATCTGGTAGTTTATCTCCTGGTTAACTTTAACCGCAACATAACTGGATGTGAAGAAATCGGGCATAAGAGCCGAATAGGTATAATTTTAACAAGTTCAGATTTCAACAATACAGATTATGTCTGTGAGGACTTCCTTTGTGTCCCTTGCCATCTTTTTACGTCTGTACCATTTGAAATCAATAAATTCCACGACTGCAGTGAAGTAATCTGATGAAGTCAAATGATTCACACGTCATTGCTGATTCTATTTTTTTTTCGAACTAAAAATACATTAAGAATGCACGTTTTTTTTGCCGTTAATTGTTACCGTTTGTCTCACCTTATCACCATTTCGAAATTTCATGTTCATTGTATATACTTCACATTTCGTTATTTTAAAAGGAAATGTAAACGCGATAGCCCAAAGTTCTATCTCGGTAAAGACAGGCAAGGAAATCTCTTGTTAATATCAAACAGTTTTATTAAATATTTAATATTTCTCTTAATCCGCTTTGTTTGTCTCCGAAAGGCTGATTACGATATCAGTTCGTAATGTGTGTACAGCTCGAAATAAAGAAGATGACGCATATTCTCATGAGGTTTTAAAGAAATGCTGACTCGCACCTTTTAGGTATTATACGAGAATTGATAACGAGTTATCAGTGGAGATGATACTATACTGCTCAACAAGGGTGACAAAGAACAAAGCGCACTGTTGTGTCTATAGTATACTATCTAAAGTTTAATTTACACTGTACTCTCTGCGTCGAGAAACATTTTATTTTACAATACGTGCGTTTAAAACATTTGTGCAAGTTGATAAATCGTATATTATGCATTGCATAATCGTACATTGTCGACAAATTTTTTAAACGTTTTGACTTGCTTATATAAAATAGAATATTTCTAGATGCAGAATGCACATTGCAGGTTAGGCTTAATTGTAAGAAACTTTTTCCACAAGAAACTTGTCCACTAAGAAATTATAATGAAGTTTCGTTGGTTAATATAATTAAAATTCTTGAAATTTTATTATTTAATTTGATATTAATCCAAAGTTTTAAAATAATCTTTGTTACAATTATACAAATAATTCTACAAAAGTTTAATGAACTATATTTTAATTATTTCTTGTGTAAATTTATGCAAATAAAGTTGAATGTAGTTTGTCCATTATTACGAAACTAGAGTATCACATTTAATACATTTAATGTATTATCTAACCAAGCTATTGATTAAGCGCAGTCTCAAGTTCGTCGGATCAGCCGTTGTTGAGATCCGAAAATCTGAGGGCCCGTCAACTCGTGTACTCGCGTAAACTTACACGGTGGTGTCGCGCGCGTGGTTAGGCTTGTCGCTTATACTTAGTCGCTTATACTTGGCGCGAGACACTACCGTGTCTCGTGATACGGTTTTATTATTATCGGTATTATCTAATTTAATTAAATATATATTTAATGTACATGAGCTTTGGTTTTAATACATATTGTACAATTTGTTGGAATTTAATATAATTCATTCATTTACATTCCGTTTTAGGCTCAAAATCAGGCAAATTCACGGAGATATTAGTCTCGGGATGTGAAATGACCCAGGAAAACTGTATTTTAAAGCGCGGCACTAACGCATCTATATCCATCAAATTTATACCTAGTGAGTATACGAATTATCCAAAATCGCATATCCAATTTATCCATAATAGGATTCGATTTTGAATAAATGGTATTAAGAATATTTGAATTATTAATTATACATATTTAAGAGCTATAACATTATTAAACAAGTCATTTTCTAATTACACTATTTGTACATTTCTTTTGCAGATAAAGATATTTCGCAAGTCAAGGTACGTGTATACGGCGTACTAGTACACGTTCCGGTACCTTTTCCATTTCAGAAGTCTGACGCTTGCAATGATCCTGACGATGGGATCACTTGTCCTTTAAAGAAGAACCAAGAGTATCATTACACGACCACGTTGTTTGTGGAAAAGAAGTATCCTAAGGTAATCGACATTTAAAATTCATACTTTACTATTTCGATTTCTTTTAGATTCAGTTGTTGTGATTTATTATATATTAGTATATTTGGGTATAAACTTGGAATTTGTAATTTATATTTCTTGAACGACTAGTTAACGAGTTTTAGTCTGATAACTTAAAAACTTATGATTCTTTATCTTTAATTTATTAAATATACTAATTTCGTTATTAAGAATATTTTTTACATGTATCATAAAGTTATTAAACTTGTGTGTTAAGCTTGATATTTGAAATAATAAAAAAAATGTATACATGTGTATCAACAATGTGTCCTTAAAATTTTATTTTTATTTTATTGTCATTTATTTTTCCTATCAATATGCTTTGACATGCTTTGGCAGAGTAATACTTAACATTAAATAATGCATTAAATTTGTGTTAAAAATTGTGTTAAAAAATTTACTATTTTTATTATCTTCCAGGTGAATGTTGATATCGAGTGGAAGCTTGTGGACGAGGCAAACGAAAACATAGTGTGCATAGAGTTTCCAGCAAAAGTTCAGTGATAAAACGATATTTCGATAATTGAAATAAAGAAAAACACTGAAGATCATACGTTGATAAATATAAATGTGCCATTTTTTTAGATAAGATATTTTGATATAAATTTAATGCATTATTTAATGTTAAGTATTACTCTGCCAAAGCATGTCAAAGCATATTGATAGGAAAAATAAATAAAAATAAAATTTTAAGGACACATTGTTGATACACATGTATACATTTTTTTTATTATTTCAAATATCAAGCTTAATAACTATAAACAATTTAGGATCTAGAGAAAGAAAACTATGTGTAATATTACTATGGGTAATTCTACACGTTGATCTGTGAGTGTTTTCTATTCAGTACTTTGTAAAGTATTTTCTCTTTTGGCTAATGCGCTGATCATTTTTTAAATAATTATTTCATTATCTTAAAATAGAAATAAGACTCGGCCATCGAGTTTCCAGTGGTAATGGAGAGGGAGGGGTGGGGGGGGGGGGGAGGAAGCATCGCCTCAGAAATCAGTATCACCGAAATATGTGTCTAAATCCAATCATTAAATTCCACTCAATTCGTTTATATCTTAATCAAGTTAAATTTTAATCGTTACCATAGAAATAGCAATACTAGTGCAGATTTAATAGTTTTCTTTAGTCATATACATATGTGCACTCTGTACCCATAATAGTGTGGAAGAGTGGACAAAGTAAAATAAAAATTAGAATTAAAAGTGCAGGAAGCTCGAGAAAGAAAAGATATTTTCATTTGTCTAATACGAATCTTGATAGCTTTAATCTTCTTCCTATTTTTCCTCAATTTTCATTAACATTCCATCATGTTTTTAATCACTTTTTGTAACATTGTCATTTTCAATCTGTTGGATTGTTCGCTTGTTGCTTCGATTTTTTGAATTTGGTTCATTTTGCAACGCTTTCTCCGCCTTGTAGATGGGTTCATATTCTTCTAGTTGCTTCAAAAAAGCTCTGTTTGGATTTATGCAGAATCTTCTTTCCTGCAGTGCCGTGTAGGCACTACTAAAATAAATATTGCAACAATTTTTCGATATTGTAATCTCAGAAATGTATAATTAACGAATAATATATAAGATAAACGTACAAGTCTGTAATTCAGATAAAAATATAGAAAAACATGTATAACATATGTATAGGTTCTTTTAGAATTTAGAGAAAAGCTTACCCTAGTGAAACGTTGTAAGTTTCCATAATGTATGCCAAGACTAATGTGGCGGATCTCGAAGTGCCACTGCTTCCATGAACCAGGACTCGTCCATCCGAAGCCAAAGCATCATCAATAAATGAAGTTGATGCTTTGAAATGTTGCATGATATTTTCCACAAATGTATTGGCGATCTCCAAGACTAGGTATCTGTAGAAACAGAAGTATGCAAAATATAATTAAACAATAAAAAATGTAAAAAATGTAAAATATTGTGAACGAGAAATTTAAAGAGAAAGCGGAGATATTAGACAAATTGTTTGTTTCGATTCAAAATTATATCTTAAATTAATATGCCATTATGAAAGTATAAAGTTAACAGCAAAATCAGAATAATACATAAGGATATTAAGGCAAAAGGTTCTTCTTCCTCGTGTATTAGGCTTAAAGCCTGTTTTATCTAGTTTGTTCTGGTACTTGGAGCATTTGGTTTCACTTAATTTTCGATAGGCCGCTAACCTTGTCGAAGGAAACCTAGCTGGAGGGCTATACCTCTAAAGGAGTATGTGTGGCAAGATACTCTCGGTAGTTGCTACTTCCCTTCGGGAGATTCCGAAAAAAAACCAGCAATGTCCGTGGATTTAAACTCGGATATTTTCGTTCATTTGTTTACTAACTCTACCACACTCATATGGCAAAGAGAGATGTACGCTGCTTAGTAAATAAATAAACGAAAAAATTAGAGTTCAAATCCAGCCACGGACACCGCTGGTTTTTTCGGACGCCACTTCTCGGAGGGAAATGATAACCACCGAGAGTATCGTGCTACACATATTCTTTTAGGGGTATAGCCCGCCAAGGTGGTTTTATTTGCTAAGGACCCCAGTGGAAGATTGGGGTCAGGGCTGACGAAGAAGGAAGAAAAATGGTCCTTCGAAAAGGGAGTTGGCGGACGGCAAAAAGTTGACGATTAAAAATATTAAAAGAAAAAATACTTAAAAAAATCATAGGAATTAAAACTTTTTAAGATTTTACAGCTGTTCTCTTCTTTGTTAAATGATTAATATTATTATATTATTAAATGATTAATATTAATATAATTAAGCTATTGCAATTACGATCACGTACTTGAAGTCTGAGGGAAAGTTTGGCCTTATAAAGTTAATCTCAAGAGCGTGTCTCACACAAACTATATGTGTTATTCCATGATCCTTTAAAGTCTGCAATTTAGAGCGACTGGCAGCACTATACGGACCAAGAAATAAACCAGGTATCACCTCCTGTAATGCAGAACAGTATAAAATAAACAGGATACATAATTTTTTGTAAAAAGACAAATGTACAAGGCGCAAAGAGTTATAATTATAACAAGTATGTTATAACGTACAAAGCTAAGTTATAAGTGATTTAATATTACTTATTTTTTTACAATTCTCATTAACTTTGAAGAACTTTGTAATTTTTAAGAAGACTTTGTAGATCTACATTCGCACTATATCGACAGAATTAATAGATTGGTGAAATTTAACCATTTCGTGCTCGTTATGTCAAGCTGGTGTAATCACCTGCATATCTCTTCTCATTGTATAAGTCCAATCTAGCTTCTCTAGCTTGCCCATTCTTTGGTGTTCTTCGTCAATTTCTGGGCTTCTGACATTTGGTCGCAGCTATAATGTTTAACACAAAGTTATTTCTTAATCCTAAAGTATTATGAGATGTTACAACTTCCTGGAAATCACATTTGTATCTGATTGTATGTTACATGCATTTTCCCAGGGAAAAATTTTCATTTGATAAGGAAAAAAATCTCGTGGTCCTCAAAAAGTTTATTAAACATAAAGTTAAGAAAGGGAAAACTAACTGAATTCATCTCAGGTCCTAATGTTATAAACTAAGATGTCAGAGCGATTACAAAATATAAGTGTACAAAATACATTGTTTAAAAGTAACTTATCCTTTAGGGTCTAAGCAGACAAACTTGCATAAACAAATGCTTAAGGAAACTGATAACCTTTCTGTGTCGTAAAGATATGTCCACGTTTAATCAAGATTAAGTACTTGAATTTCAAGGTATTTTTTGAAATATCACGCTGATATAAGCTAATCTAACGGTTGAAAGGTGTTCCCATAAGAGTAAACTTAAAAAAGGGGGGGGGGAATCTGACCAGACAAACTTTCACAGCGCATAAACGTATGCACGAGGAATCTGACTAGTAAGTGACTAGACCATAAACGTACGCATAAGGAAATAGACCAATACATTTTTTTTTACGTATATGCTTATGCGCCTGTGCAAGTTTGCCTGGATAGACTCTAAGAGGCGACTAAGGCACGGTTTTTCATTCTCTGGTCACTGTTAACCAGAGGTTAGTCGACTCTCCAGCTTTTTCGATATCATTATCTAAAAGCCTATGTTCACGATACTAGAACTTGGTCCAAGTTCTTGGACCAAGTTTTTGTTACTAGCTGATTCGACTTGGATAACATCAGATGGCGGTGTATTCCCAAACGGTAGTCAGGTATATCAACATGAGCAACATTAAAGTATCGGAAAGCAATAATTTCATACGTTATATTTTTATACTGTTCGCAAATAATTTGTACTGCTCTTTCTCGTTTCGTTCGATTGTGATAATCTGCAGATTTTGTCACGTATAGACAGGGATGTTGTTGATATAACATTATCAATATTTTAATGTTTTCCTTATCAGTATTCATCTTCAGATTTTATCACGAATCTCATGCAACTCGCGGGACACGGTAACTGTCGAAAAGTATTTCATACGGAATAGAAGATACAAAATATTCAGTCTGAGGAAGGTGAGTTAAACCAAAATTTGTCGATATACAGTAAGGAGAAAGATGTCTTCAGAATATCTTTTAGATTCCTACAAGGTATCTTTACATGTATAGATATCCAAAAGACTTCCCAGCAGGGTTGGGCACGTAAAATACTCAATGTAAATTACACGGTTTTAGACATGTAAAATATTAGGTATTTTACGTCCTTAGTTTTTTACACATGTAAAATACGTCAACGCCGTATGCGCCCCTTCAGGCCGTTGCTAGAACTTCATTCTGGTTATTGTCACATGTGTCACAGGACTCACAGGACTACGTTTACACGGGGAATCCCCGACGAGTACAGTAATTCCTCATTTCTAGGGCTGCGTTCGGAAACATTACCCGAATGCCCCAGTGTATCATTTTATCTGTAAATAAACAATTAGTTTAATTTTTCTCAAACGAATGAAATTTGAAAACATGTACATGATATCGTTTCTTATTCTTGATTACTTACCTGATTGTTTCTATCTTTGGAATTCATTTTTTATTTTTTTATAATGTAAAATCTGAGTCCGTGACGGCGTTGACGACTGAATGCGTCCGATGTCCGACGTATGACATCCAATACCCAATGGGAGAGCACGTTTTCTAGAGACTCTAGTGACTAGTTTCTAGCAAAGAAGTCGTCTGTCGAGTGTCGTACTGTCGTGCTGAGTGTCGTAATATTAGCAGTGCTAAACCTAACATTGCTAACGGGACTCTTCCAAGTTAGATAGTTTTAGCATGTATATTACGTTTTATACACATATTTGACGTAATATACATACAGGGTGAGTTATAACATTTGTCCACGAGCTCGTGAGAAGGTAGAACGGATCGAGATGAACAGAAAAGTCCTGAACCATTTGCAATTTTCGCAATAGTTAACGAGAAAAAAATTATCGAAAATCGTCGTCTTTGCCCTGCCCA